AAATACTATTTCTATAAGTTCCATTTTACAAGCTTATCAGGCAGTTACAAATTATGAACTGTGGGTAAGGCATCGATGCAATGCTTTTATTGACTATAGTATAAAGTATAGTTTGCCAATTAAGGTATAAGCATTAAGAGGGGTGTAATGTAGGATAGTAGTTTAATAAAACGGGCAGAAAAGTATAGAAGCATATGGGTCGTAGATACGGTAAAGAGTGGAGAAATAATATTAATTGCTAGTCAACATGGTGTACAGAAGATGAAAAGGTAATAAGCAATAAACAAGGAGAGACTCACATTAACTTGGTGTTGATGTTATTTTGTGTTGTTCAAACCAGTTGATGGGTAACAGGCTCCATAGATGCAGTTCGATCGGTAGTAGGCAGTCGATTGCGCGGTTTTCTTGACTTTTCAGGGTGGTAGTGAGTGTCTCTTAGCGACCGAGTTTAGTTGAACAGTATCAGTGGGTCCAGTGAGTTACCTGTCTACTTGAAGTGAAGAAATAGAGTGGGGAATGTAACAAAAACAACTGCAAAGTAAGAAAAATAAGACAAATTGAAATTGGAGTCCATTTTTGTTTAGACATGTAGAGAGCTTATGTTATCTGAGTGGGGCGAAGATCTGTTCGTACGTGCTAGATGAGTGCAAATGAGGGCTTGATCAAGCAGTCTTACAAACGTATGCAGTTCATCTGCCATGCGTATTTCGAAGGGAAGACTGTTCCAAATTATTGCATACTTGATGAAGAAGAAGTTTTCTCGAGTATTTGATCTGTATTTCTCAACTTTGACCGTAGATACTTTGTTTCGAAGTACATATTCATGTGAATTTCGGGCAAGAACTATATTACATGTTGAATAAGTAAGGTTTTTGAGTAGTTTAAAGTAGAGAATCAAATTAGACCTAAGCTTTCTCTTCCAAAGAGGTGCTATTCTTAGGATTTGGCATCGGGAACTGTAGTCAACGACTGATTCAGTCTTAAGTATTTTGCGGGTGGAGTCTAGTTGTATTCCTTCCACCTTTAGCATATCAGATAGGCGTAGGTTGGAAAAGAAGAACGAGCAGTATTCAGCGATAGGTCTTACACAAACTTTATAAAGAAGGATTTTAGATGAGAAATAGGTTAAGAAAACAACCAGAAGGGAAGTATCAACACATCATAGCTACATACTGTCTCAAATAACCGCAAAAATGGCAGGATTATCCTTAAAAATCTTATAATTGTCAATTTGGATCACTTCAAAAGATATCGAATTCTAATATTTGATCATTTGTAAGGCGTAACAGATGTATGTACAGTCCATTTTATCTAAGCATGTTTCCAAATTTCAGGTGTTTCCTGTGACGTCCCTTTAAAGCCTGAGCCCAAGCAGGCATTTTAGATAATGCCAAGGAATACCCGAATTTCTATAGGCAATTAAATCTTCAAAGCTTAGTCTCTTGTACTCTAAAGTGTCAAAATACAATAAGTAAAATTCTTTGATCTGTTTGAATCGCTCACCTGTAGGTGTGTTATAAGGTATTTTTATCCTTTTTCGGTGGCAAAAGAAAATACTATGTTTCTCAGCTGTAAATTGAACAAATAAAGGTGTGAAAATGAAGTGAGGAAAACAAAGAGTCGAGATGAAAGAATTATTCGGAAACTTATCCACTATTAGAGTATCAAAAGAAGAAAGCGTGCCTAATATATTACATGCTTATTTAACTTCTTTACTGATTCTGACGCATTCCCTTGGAGCTATCTCTTACAGTTGAAGGTCAAAATTGAAGGTAATGAACTTTGTTTATGTTGTTCAAGATGAAAAGGCAACGGAAAAGCCGGAAAATCCTGACTGCATCTATCATTCACTTTTTTTCACCTGGTTGATTATGTGCGCTTACTCATAAAGAGGGATGTGACCTCTCTGACCTCTCATCAATAACGAAAGTATTGTGAGAGGTGGTGCCCGAAAAGTGATTCTGATACACAGTGTGCTACGCACTAACCCCCAACTGACTACTGGAGTGGAAAATTATATTGAGCTGCCGAATAAAATGCACGGATATTCATATATAAATATATATAACTCTACCCTTTAGGAGCTAATCCATTTCTTATCTTATGAGATTCACTTGTCCTTCAGATCACTTCCAATCGCCATCGATCGGCCTTCTCACTAGACTAATTTTGACTATCTTGCTCCATCTGATGAATATTCTGCTCATTTTGCCATGTGGGAACATTCAACCAACTACGAAGTTCACATACTATTTCTTTCTTCTATGGTAGACAATTACAATAACAAATACCACAACCATAATCATACCACAATAACCACCGAGTGGTAGATCTGGATGTCTCGATAATCTGAACTCTTACCAATTACTTCTGGTGTAACATACCCACGTCCATTTGGAAACATAATTTGTGACGAAAATATTGGATCTATTCTAATTTGCTTCTTAGAACGGTCAAAAATCGTTACTATTTTGAAGAGTCTGTCACTTTACGTCCTTATGCAGCATAAATTTTCCTATTTTTACAAATATTCTATTTTTAATCTCACATCTTGAGTATTTCGCTCATATCTTATTTCACATCCTACCTGTTATTACGTTGCGTAAAATGTACAGTTATAGTGTTGCTACCACTGATGATTTTATAATTATATGAAAGAGCTAGTAGCGGTTTTCATCCAGGGGTTGATAACAAGTCTGAAGTCTCTTAACAAGCACCAAGGTCATGATAAGTCTCAAAATGACAACAGACAATGTGATAAAGTAAACAATACGAATCAACTGACTCAATTGCTAAAACTAAGTACCCCCGATTCATAGAAATACTAGCAAGTAAAATTGAAATCGAAAAAACGTTCCGGACCCACGTTAGCACAGTCTGCTAGAAAGAAAGATCGCGAAAACGAAAGCTATTTCTCATGTTCATAACTAGCTAAACAAGTGACTCAACATTTTAACCTTGTTTCTGTGGCAGCTGTGTCCACTGTCTCTGTGATCTTGTAGTACCAACACAGTAGCACTAGTCCATGTCCACTAGATCCCACTGAAAACAACGAATATCAACCCTTATTGGTATAACAAGTTCGACCAGCACAACCAAAAACTCGACTATGATAGCTATAATCCGATCACATACACATATGAACTAGTCGACTGTTGCGAATACTTTAGTTTCTGTTTACAGTAAAAACAGTGGTTAAGCGTTGGGAAAATACTGGCAAGAGCATAGCTCACAAAAGCTAAAATAAAAGGCAAAGACGTTAAATAAAACATCCATATTTTATCGAATGTATTAGTGTCGGCAGATGGTTTTTGACTGAGAACAAATGGAGATATAATGTGTAACGCGTGCAATGTGTACAACTTCAGCAAAACTGAACTTCATGTATGGAGGCCATAATTTAGAATTGGTACAGTCGAGTCGCTAGACTACCACAAACTGAAAATAAGCAAATACCTGAAATCGTATCAAATCAACAAGAAGTGGGTGCAAAGAAAACCAACTAGTTTATACAAGCTCGTGATGAAAGTATTGGATATTGATCAGTGTTATTGAGCATACAGAGATATTTCAAGTCTCAAGGTTGGTCTGTTTTTTTTTCGCATCGTCGTTCGTAATACCGTGTCTATTCTGTTAGTAACTGTACAGTAATAAAAACTTCAAAATTCCTGATATATCTTTGCTAAAAACTGTCTGGCGTCTTGTTTTCTGCAATCTTGTTCAAATGTCCATGAGGATTTCAACAACACTCATTTAAGTAATGTTACAAGGTCCCAAAATATTAATAATTATTCGCTATTTCTCAAAACAGTATATTTTGTGATTACTAATACTTTTACTATGGAGTTTGTCTTCACTCACGAGAACATCTGTCTAGACTTCTTGCTGTAATGATGTAGTTAACTGACCTTAGGTTTATGTTTGACTGTCTAAAAATATTGGAGTTAGAATACCTACCTCCAGGATTTATTTCATTTGCACATGGATGTTTAGAATGGTATGATGTCCTTTAGAGCTCAAATTTATAGTTAGGGGTGCCGTCAACCCATTTTTACCAAACTTTAATCCTAAATATGCGGAAGCCTTTTCCTTATACTTATATAAAATGTGTTTACTTTGAATCTGTATGGAGGTCGTATAGTATTTTAAATTCTCTTGCTATTTAATGTGTCTTCGCACCTGTTTACACCTTTATAATGCCTTTAAGCATAGTTTTTGTATGTGTGTATATGTAAAACTTAATACGTTATAGCATTTAAATTCTATTGAATCCATAATTTCAAGCAATCAGTTTTCATATAATGTTTGCAAGCAAATCGACTCTAAAATCAAGTTAAATTTTTATTAAATGGATTAAAAGAGTTAAGTGTTCGTGTATCGGTTATCATCCAGAGTGGAATAACTTCATGTATACAAGTTAAAATGAAGTGTTATTTGTTTGTTAGTAACTTCTGTTTTTACTCCTAGTTAATCATTCGGTAATTGACGTACCATAAAATCGTGGTCAAGTATTGTGCATATAAATTTCAGCTGGAATTTCCTCCAGCTTTTCGGTCGTCTATTCTATCCTTTAAATTATGTTTTGTTGGGATTTTGGGTGTAGTAAGCAAAACGTTACTTCTGTCACCTCAGTCACTTCGTTACTTTATCATATCAATTAGGCCATTACAACACAAATATCAATTGTATTTACATAGCTTATCGTTTCTGTAAACTTTACATTATTATGTACAAGTGTTTTTCTTTAAAAACGGAATGGTTATTGTTAATTCGTAGTTTTTTATTATTTGGTATTTAAATGTAGTGGAAAATATGACCGTAACTTCAGTTTGTTTTAGTAAGTACCTGATCAAACTTTTCAGTGATTTTAAATTTTTGGTTACTTACCCTTACGTAAGGATGTTTCGGTATTTTTAACTTTCAGACATAACGATCTTCAACAGTTATAAGCAACAACTAACGATCGTCAAGGTGAAGTGCTTTTTGATGTATTAAGATCAATGGTAAATGTTTGTCATATTACCTTATTATCTCCATTTAATTATTAGAATACTCCTAAAAGATCTAACTTTCGAGGAAGATTTTTTAGAGGGAGAAGGTTTCCCTCGAAAGGCAAAGTTCAAAGTGATGGGAGTTATAAACGAAAACCTGATCAAATCAAATCACCTCGTACATATATCACTAATTCCTCAGAAAATGGATTTTCCCAACCGACGGATTCGTTAGGAATCGATTCTGTCCATAGTGGATTCCTTAATCAAAAAGCATTACCACTTGCTTCATTCAACAAAAATTGTCCCTATCCTGGTTGGTTATTATACTTTCCAACTCGATTGTATGAAAATTCATCAAAAGTTTCAGCTTACTCAAAAGTAAATATCTTACATTTTATTTTATCTTGTACGTATACTAATAATGCCAGTCAGTCAGGATCAGCTCAAAGTCTGGCGTAAATTTGTAACGTTCCAACTGCCCATACCACAACAGAGAGGGGAACTTGACAAAACGGATAACAGAACAACTGAATACATACGTGACCTCACTGCAGATTATCTGTCCGAATCGTATATCTGGGATATTTAATCCCTTCAACATACTGGTTATACCATCCTTCGCTAAGTGAACAAAAAGGGAAAATAGATTGTGTTCAGACCAGTCGAAATACTCTGAATACTTGTCAACATGCCAGTGTCCGGAGGCAGCTTATTTGGAAGTAAGGATACCTCGACAAACAGCAATGGAAAGAGTGACAGACAGACATCATTAACATAGGGCCTGGAATACATGTACGTCGGCTTAAGTTGACATACCACATTAGCAAGACGAGATAAAAATAATAAAGAAATCGAAATAATTTAGTATCAATGGTAAAAAGAGTGACTTAACATTGAATGTGTGTGCGAAGGACTACTGCAATTCATAGTCAGGAGATAGATGGAGAATAAATTCATCGCCATCGTGAACGATTATGAGCCATATCACCTAGTGTCCAACCGCTTATCGTCGCCATGAAGCGGACGTCAATAAGGTAGTCGCCATCTACCAACATAGTTCAGACCAACAATTAACCTTAAGGAATGATGCGACATTCTGGTGTGATCGCACCTAGGTTTCTTCCAACCTATTTTGCACTAGCTGGCATCGTTCGTTAGTAATAAGCTGCCGCCGGACACTGGTATATTCACAACCAGTATGTTGAAGAGATTAAATATCCCAGACATACAATATGGATAGATAATTTGCAGGCGCCCAAACAGAAGCAGGTGGTTCTCTCAGGGGGCCACTCCCCAAACCTTTGACCTAGAGGTCTAAACCACAATGCAGTGGAGCAACGTCAGGAGATGCAGTCCCACGGTATCGGTGACCAACAATAGGTTCATAAGTCTTTTGTTCCCTCAGGATTTCGGAGCCCATATACACCATTGGTTTGGAATCAGGGTTTTTCAACTCCCCTAGATGGATCCTCTATATTCACGAGCCCTATTAAGGCGTCGGACATTCGCTTTTTGTCTTCTCAATCTCGTGAACAACACCACCCTCATGAGAAGGGAGTGAGTAGGACTTCGTTGTCACTGGCTGTTTACGCGTGGCCATGTGAGAACATTTGGAGAGGGTGAGCTGACTCTCCACTGTACCAGGGCATTTTGGGGTTGTTATCCATCCTGTTAACTTCCTCTCAATGTTGATGTGGTATAAGGAGTTGAAATGCTTCAAATTTACGCCACGTTTTGGATTGTTCGCAAATTAATAACATTCAATTACTTCAATAAATTACTACTTTGTCACTTTTTTGCCTTTCAGATAACACTTGAATTTATTACTGACTTAATAGAAAAATCTGGATATAATCTTCTATTAAATCCTTATACTGTTGATACTGTATCAAATTTGGTTGGAAATGCTCTGGATTGGATAAAAATTGAAACACAGGGTGCTGTACTCATTGACTATTCATCAATTATTCACTCTAAATTATTACAAGATAAATTACACATAAACAAATGTTTTAATGATAATGCAACAGGTGGTATAGAATGTGCTGAACATTGTGAAATAATATTACGAGCTTTTGGTTTAGCACTACATACTTTATGCTATCGAACAGCTTATCAACACGACTCTGTACCGGATATTTTTAAAGGTATGAGCGTAGATTACCCTAATGTTCCCTATTACTACTTATATTTTCACTACCTCTACCACTACGGGATTTGAATCGATAACTGTGTGTCTGTGCTAATGTGGTATGGCAACTCGAACTGATGTACGTACTTACGTACGAAGTTCCACGTTGTTACTGACTGACTGACTGATGAGCGTAGATTATTTTGAACTAAATTTACCATTGATTATCCTAGTTGTTGACAGGTTTTTTGAAAACTTATTTACCGAATAAAGATACCGTGATTTAGTTTATGCCAACAAAGATTTGTTTACTAGTCTCGCAGCTACTATGAGGGTTAGTCCTAATAATCGTCTTTCCAAACTGCCGTAGAGTTAACAGTGGGGGATTGAAGGTACCACCTAGTGACTGAAAAGTATACTCTTTAACCATTAAATTATTGCTCTAATGAGATAGTTTTTTTCTCATAAACTAACATCATTTGGAGGGTCATTAAAAACCAGAATACGTTTTGTATGTTTTACGTTTCACTTTGGAGCTCTTCAACAGTGCACACCTACAGCCCTACATATTTTCAAGTCCATGGTCCACGATAATTTTACATCACTAAATCCTTGGGCAAGTACATACCTATGCACTTGATTTTAAACTATAATACTTCTATGGTATATGTTAGTGACACTACCTCCATCATCTTAGAGTTACAGGTTCAGTTACTTCAACTATCATTTCAGTACTAAACAGGTGGTCGTTCTTGTGGTTGAAATACCTAAACGTTGATGATTTCATAAGTATTCTAGTGTGTTGTGTTAGGAATATATGATTTTTTTTCTCTGTACCAAATTAAATCAGTCTTGTAGAAACATATGATCATTCTAATGTCACAAGTCTGACGATTATTTTTCCTCTTTCTTTTAACTGTTGTAGTTGAAAATGAATCGATTGGAGTAAATACACGTTTACCTGGTTATATTGCTGCACGTATTGTAAATCATTCACCGATTACTCCTTTACGAAAATTACGTGCTCATCATTTAGGACAATTCATATCAGTCAAAGGCATTGTTGTAAGACTTGGTCCAGTAAGTAATTTTGTTTATTAGGTTATTAATTTTTTGATTAAAATATTATTAATTGTAAAACTTTCATTTTATAATGCTCAAAAGCTTGGTTTGTGATTTTTTGAAGTCTACCATCAACTATTTGTCAATTTTATTTCAGAGTTGTTGTGTAGAGATCAGCTTTATTCCTTCATGGTATTCGTCACAGATTGAACTTGGTTGAGCTACTATTGAAAATCAATGAGTAGTGAATAGCTGTTTCATTCCATTATGAAACTTCTAAGAGTTAGACATTCATAAACTATCCAGAGGTCGAACATAATGCCTTACTACGGTCGCTTAATCTTTAGACTATTAAATTGATTTAGATCAGTTGATACAGATTTCCCATTGCAATCACTTTCCCATATAACTCGACAAGACGGCTGTTCAATACTCTCTATTTCCCATTGGTAACTGAACTAATATCAGTCCTTTAAAAAATCAAAACTACAAATTACATCAGTCTCTATAGAAATTCTCAAGCAGAATATGGTGGTGTACCCACTAGTGACTGACTATAACGTGAGTTCTTTAGGTTTTGTGGGCGAAATTTCAAAAAATTTGCTAGGTGTAAGACCAGTCCTCAGTAATATTAATGAACAGCCGCAACATGGGTCGATTGCTGGTAGAATTAAATGACCATTATTCGACGTCAGAGGATCCATCTAGGGGAGATGGAAAACCCAGATTCCAAACCGATGGTGCATATGGGCTCCGAAATCCTGAGGGAACAAAAGACTTATGAACCTATTGTTGGTCACCGACTACTGTGGGACTGTATCTTCTTACGTTTCTCCACTGTATTGTGGTTCAGACCTCTAGGTCAAAGGTTTGGGGGGTGGCCCCCTAAGGAAACCACCTGCTTCTGTTTGGGCGCCTGGTCAGTATTCCAGCCCTCACACAAATTGGATGACGAATTGTGGTGCATATATATTTGGTGCCTCCTTGTACCAGTGTTTATGTGTTAAAATAGATAAATATTAGTAAACTTCGAAAGTTTTCCAATTAGCTTTAATAAATTATAAGGATTAACTGTTGCATAATATTCTTTTGTCTTCTAAGAATAATTTTGAGAAGTGGCAATCAGAAAATATGACAATCTTTTGCCATCAGTCTTTTGTTGTAGGCCACACTAGTTATTTTCAGGCAACAAGATTCTCAAATTTCACCTCGTTCATTACTATTCTTAGAGGTTTGTGTTTTTGTGTTATTAATGTTCAATAATGAATGCGATCAGTCATCGTTGGCATAGGAGCTTCTTGAGTAGGTATCTCGTTATATTGCTTGGAGAGTTACAAGTTTATCAAATTTTTAAATAGTGGCTAACAGTGGGATTCAGATTATGTGTTTCATTCTGCTTGGAACTCATCAGATGGTTTTACTCTTACTTCAGTGTCAATGTATACACTAAGACTTAAATACAATGCGCTTCGCTTTAAATGTCAGCGACTTATCCATTAAGTAACTAGTTGATGATAAATACACAGCTTATTCGACAGATATACTTTTTATTATTATTCATAAAAACCAGTAACACTGAAAATCAGGTACGTTCAGCTGACGAACCCTGAATCAGATGAACTACATCCTAGATTCTACTGCTGTCTAGTAATCAGAAATATAATTCAACTCGATTACATTTAACTAGTAATTTAATAGTTAAATTCATGAGTCAATTGATGCTAGACCACCATGGAAAACCTGGAAGCACTGGACGGCCGACTCGTCACATTGCTGGACTCCTCAGCCGTGCGCATCCACGATCCCACCCTGCGTGATTCGTACCTAGGATCTATCGGTCTTACACACGAACGCAAGTAGGGCATTTCAGGGTAATTTTTTTAATGAAGTAACAGTTGTACAAATGATGTTTATTCATTTTATTTACCCGTATATATTAACATTTTTTAACCAGTACATTAATTTGAGATCATGTCTGTTTTCTTTCTGTAAAGACAAGTAAAATTTATGTATATTTATTTATTTATCCAGGTTGAACCAGTGTGTCATCGTTTAGTGTTTGAATGCTGTCGTTGCGAAATGAAACAAGTATTAATACTACCAGAAAATGGTAATTATGCTATACCAAGTAAATGTCCAACAAAAGATTGTCGATCTAAAAGTTTTGAACCATTATTAAATCATCCTGATACATTAACAATAGACACACAGGTTAGTATCTGACGTACTTTAAGATGAGTTTTTAAAATTGTATAGTGAAAATTCCACAAATGGTAAAGTCCAGATATTTCAAGAGTGAAACAGATGTTACCAATGGAATTGAATGATTATTGAGCCTTGTCATAGGTTGATTGAATTTGAAATTTTATCAACAAACCTAGATCCAATGGTTGTTGTTGTAATCTGAGGTATTCGAGATTTGATATTGGTATGGTATGTGTTAGCGAGACATAGATTGGATTAAATCATGCTCATTGCACGCTTGCGTTGGCGCACGCTGATTGGCTAATTCTTATCCAATCAGCGCTAGCCGATGCTTGGAGAAGACTAGAATCTTCGTATGTAAAAACTATAAATATACTAACGCTTTTCCTATTGTGCTTCTTTCTTCCATCTAACCTTGTTATTTGGAATACAGTCTCTTTCCTGTTCAACCGTATTCTGATTTGGGGACTTTGTCAAGCGAATTGGTGTCCTAGAATACTAAGCAATAGGAATAGCTGGGTTATAACCGCAAGAGAGAAATATAACAGTATGCACTACTTATCGGGACAGACATAAGTAGTATGTATCAGTAATCAGAAGTAGAATGTTCACCAGCAAAAGAATCAAGTAACATATGATTTCCATATTTTACAAGGCCACTATTTGATTTTGCATAGAACAACAAATTAGTTTACCGTACCTGAGTTTCTGTGACGACGGACCACGGGTGAACTCGAGGAAGCTATAAGAGGCTCAGAAGGGGCCGAAGATGTTCCATCCAATCACCGTTAGGAAGAATATTCTAGAATCCCTACGTGTAGCTTCCCGATTGGACAAGGCTAATAACCCCCTGTATGCGGATTGGAGGACTATAATGATGATTTTTGTTCTTACTAAAACTATAAATACCTGACAATTTGTACCCATAATTGACACTGTTTGGAATAACATTCCTTTCACTAGTCTTCTGTTTTCTCCTTGCGACTTGGAAGGGTCTTGGCGTTCTTGTGTTCAGTTATACGCGTTATATCAAGTAATCAACCATTTCTAGATATAACAGTTTCCACTCACTAAACTGGTACGGAATCTGTCTACACACGAGCCCAATTAGGGCTACTTGAGTGAGAAGACTAAGTGCGAGAAAGGTAGTTTATTAACTAACCAAATTAAGAGATACATGCGCCCATATATATATATATATATACTTTAAATAATTAAGACCTACAGGAGCATGTTCCTCACCAATTTACTCAGCTTTGAGCAGCATATATATTTTAATTTTTATTATTGTACTTGTCTGGAGTAATGTGATGAATTGTTGTTCGAATCCGAAACACAACGATTGAAATTTAAACGCTTATACTGTTGACCATGTTACTTCATTATATTTGACTATTTGTAATGAATTTATGAATGGAGACAGCTCACACTTATACTTGCACATATTAAATAGAATGAATCTTTACTCTAGCTTATTGTTATTTGATGTATTGTTTAAATGTAATGATTATTTCAAATAAGCTACATCCTAATGTGTGCCCCCAAATGCTCTGGTACGGCCGAGAGTGGGGAGAGTCCTCTCGCCCTTCCGAAATGCTCTCACACGGTCATGTGTATATAGCCTCTGCCAGGGAAGTCCTACTCACTGCGTTCTCGTGACGGGGGTGTTGTTTACAAAAATGAGAGGACGGAAAGCCAATGTCCGGCGCTTTAACCGGGTCGGTGGACATGGAGAGTTCACCTAGGGGAGTTGGAAAACCTTGATTCCAAACCAATGGTGCACATGGGCTCCAGTATCCTGAAGGAACAAATGGTGTATGAACCAATCGTTGGTCATCGGCTGGCTGCCATGGAACTGCACCTCCTTACGGTGTTCCACTGCCTTGTGGGTCAAACTTTTAGGTCAAAGGCTTTGGGTGTGGCCCCCTAAGAAAGCCACTTGCTTTGGTTTGGGCACCCGGTCAGTATCACAGCCCTCACACAAATCAAATGAGATTTGTGTGGCGCATATGTATTTGGTGCCTCCTTGTACCGATATCTATGTGTTAATATATATATATATATATAATACTTAATCGAAATTAGTTTTTCATTCATCTAATTTAACATACAACATCCAAGGGCTACCAAACTGAAACATAGTATCAACCTATTAAGTTACTAACTATTGAACTGAAGAATATTGAAAGATACAGAATAGTGGTAGTAAACGATGGTCAGACCATGAAATTATTGACCTTCAGATTGAATTATTTTAAAATCTGTTGACTTCCTAGTTGATCTTTTCGACTTATTCATAATCAATGTTTGAGAATGTTGTATAATATAACCCAAAATTATTTGTAGTGGTGTAAGTACGTTTATTCTTACTCGAATTCTCGAATATTATATTGTTTTATATAATCTATCCCACGATTTCTTTTTTAAAACTGATATTGTTATATCTTCTACTTGATTGCGGTAGAATATGTTATGCGACTAAAGGCACCCGATCGTGTAGAATCCCACAATTGCGGATCAGGCGACAGAAAAAACAGGGGAAGTGATTATTGAATAAGAATCGAAAATGTACAGAAAAACATGAGTATTTATAGTTATTAACGTTGGCCCTAACATCATTATAATTCAGTTAATCCACAAGGAGGCAAGGTATGCTACTGTCTAATCGTAGCATGTCACGTTGATGTTCCAGAAAGTTCTATTAGCCTCTGATTAGATGAAATCTTTTCGGCTCATCTAGCACCTCTGGAGACCTCGTCGTGTTTCTCGGAGCTGTCCCAATAAATGTCAACTTTCACGGTTGAACTCACGGACTAACCTTAGCTTGACCAACATTGAAAACCTTGAAGCACTGGACGGCATTTCCGTCCCAATATGCTCACAAATCCCCCACAGTTATAATATTGCCAATGTTTAGTTTCCCAGTTGCTATTATTGTTATTATTTCGAATCCTTCTCATCTTTTACACACATATTCGAATCCTGCAAGCGGGATCGTGGCCGCGCACTGTCGAGGAGTTCCACAATAGGATGAAATGGCCGTCCAGTGTTTCCAGGTTTTCAATGGTGGTCTAACATCAATCGCTTCATCATCTCAATCATATACTTAATAATCTCCACAACCCCATACTGTCAAATCGTAAAATTGATTATTTATGAACGAAAACTACACAAACTTGCTTCTATTATCATTGATCTACAAATGATATTCAAACAGTTTATTTTATTTAAATTCAAGATCGTTACAATTCAGGAAGCATCATCGGATAATCATGAAATTGATGGAAATCATCGTGATGCATCCAGCTCAAGTGTTACATCAATTGGTCGAAGTGCACGTTGTTTAGCATGTCGACTAGAACGGGATTTAATTGATTCCTGTATTCCAGGTGATGTATTACATTTGACTGGTTTAATTGGTCTCATTAGTTCGGATGGTTTAGGAGCATCATCATCTTCCAACTCTGCTTACTCGTCATCTTGGTCAAATCGTCGTGGTGCAACAATGTACAGTCTAATTATGAATGTAAATAGTTTGATCTGTTTAAGTGGCGGGGGTGGTGGACGTAACTCTGGCAGGTTAACTGGCGATGAGAATCAACGTTTGTTGATTTTATCATCGAATGAATCTGAGCAACCCGACAGCCAAATAAAGAGTGATGGTGATATGAGCAAAGTTATATCCAGTTTAGGTAAGTATATTTCTATGCGTTAGTAGGTCATTTCAAGGTTTTTATTCCTAGAGCATTAACGGTTGTACAAATGATGTTTATTTGTTTTATTTATCCGTATATCTTAACACTTTTTTTTTCAATTCGTCAGTCTATTTCATCCTAATAATTTGTTCATCATTAATGACTACGTATCAACTCTTTCAGATATTTATAATTGACTACTGAAATGAAATACAGTAGTCAGAATCCTTTAACTTAATTCTTAACATCAACTGATTAGAATTTATTATTTTCTAGTGATCAGTTAGTGAATATTAGTTTGTAACAAAATATCTTATGGTTTAAGTAAATTAAGTTACGCATAAAATATTTGATACAATATGACATCAAGAAATTGCTGTACACAAAGCGAAATGACAACATTGTTAAAAAATAGAAGAAGGTATGGCTATCGTAATATCTATACTTTTGCTACTTATACTTGGAGATGAAAATCACCGTAATCTCACTTATGTAAATGGAAAACACAAATATTAGTACAAATAAAGATTTTAATCAGAGGAGGGTTTTTGTGGATATAATAGTAATTTGAATGGTTGAGATCATGAGTGAATTGAAGCTAGACCACCATGGAAAACCTGGAAGCACTGAATGGCCGTTTCGTCCTATTGTGGGATTCCTGACAATAATCAACATATGCTCACTAATGACTGGCTTCAAGAGGTGTTTCCTGGAGTTCTAGTGTGAAGCAGTGACCAGTGAAGTTCAACTGTGTCTGTTGTGAGATATCAACTCACTGAAGACATTGTTGGATGTGTCGGTCAATTTCGTGGATTGGTTGAAGTTAGACATTAACACCGTTGGATGCCGGCTCAGTGGTCTAGTGGTTAAGCTCTCGCACGCGAGGTCGTGGATGCGCACTTCTGAGGAGTCTCACAATACGACGAAACGGCCGTCCAGTGCTTCCACGTTTTCCATGGTTGTCTAGCTTCGATTCACTCATGATCTCAACTATTAAAAATAAAAACTTATTAACTATCCAGAAACATGACCCAAAAATAAGTCGCCTAAAACCACGTCCACATTAAGCCAAATATTCTCATTTATGGATTCATTTTACACACATTTGATGGTTAGTTGATAGTCATCATATATGTGTAAAGGTACATGTACGAAGTTCACACTGAGTAAAAAGTTTACATCTGCCATACGGATTAGAATTCTCGCTTGTTTTGATGCAAAATAAATTGATCTAAAATATTACACGGATGTCACACTTGCAATTAAATAATGTAATGGAATGTTGCACTGAGTTAAAGAAGACGTGAACTTGTCTCATTCTGACTTATCAACAAGTGTACTGTAATAGTACATTACAATTAAGAAAATGACCAGGGTTTATTTTACGGTATCAGTCATTCAGTCGTACGCATCGTAGAATCTGGGACAAGTTCAAGTTGCCATAACCTGTAAGCACACCAAGATGAAAGTGTCAAAATAAATCCCAGAGTAACCGAGGTATTAATAGGTATTAGTGGTAATAGAAAAGATTAAGCATCCTTGACATGATTTGAGGTAAATACACATAATTATTGAGAAGAAAGAGTTCATAATGTATTTAGAAACTTGGGAACTAAAGGAAGAAAATAAGAGAATAAACCTGCGTCATTCCAAACGCTTTCTAGCCATGACATTCAAAGTCTCTAACCATTGGTTACGATATTTACACCGACTATAAGTAGTCTATACCTACCTACATAACCCAATCCAACAGTCAATGTCTTTATGGATTGATGCCATGTCTTGGTTTGGTTTGTAAAAAAAAACTAAAATGAAATCGTTACTTATTGTGTATTCTAAAAAACGTATGATAACGCCTCAAGCCACCTAGCTGTTTGATTTTCACAGACCCATCTAAGTCGTGATGAATCAACAGATAGGAGTTCTGTGCATCATGGTGAACATATAGTGTAGTACGTGGTATGAAAGCTTTTGTGACGACATTCTTCAAACATTCCTAGGTTATCCAAGCATACTCTGATCGAACCTCGGGTTTGCTTGGATTGTATTGTCACTGAATATGAATAATCCTATGAAGACACCGAAAATTTATTTGTACGTTTAAAACACTGAATTTTTGTTGTTGATCTGGAAAAAATCACTAACATGCCAGTCGTATGCTGTTACTTATTTACTCCTGTTACCCCTCGTAGAGGAGTATAGGCCATACACCAGCATTCTCCATAAAAATATTCTAGACAATCCTCCAGATTTTTTCCAGTTGCTATTCATCCTTCTGATGTCTGCTTCCAATTCCCGTTGTAGTGTGTTCTTTGGCCTGCCCATCTTCCATCCCCCTTCGGGATTCCACGTTAGCGCTTACTTCGTGATGCAGTTTGATGAATTTCTCAATGTATGTCCTATCCACCTGTAACGTCTTTTCCTAATTTCCTCTTGAGCTGGAACCTAGTTTGTTCTCTCCCATAGTAGGTTGTTGTTGATGGTATCCAACCACTCCCACTCCTAGTAGCGAACTCCGCCTGTAGCTTTTCTAGGATAACTTCTGGTCCAAAGTCTGGGTAAAGGAGAAGAGTTGAGCATGGGATCAGCAACTTCATTCCGTATAAAACAACCTTGTTAGAAAAGTGCTAACCAGAAATTCTGTTTATGATTATTATTTATTACTAATAATAAATGAATTTCGACTCACACTGTTGTCATTATTGTTATTACTACTACTTCTTAGATAGTGAATTTTCAATGAAAGATTTATATGCAATACGTGAAATAAGTGAACAACCAAATTTATTCCGTTTACTAGTCTGTTCATTATGTCCTAGTATATGTGGTCGTGGTCTCATTAAAGCTGGCCTAATATTAGCTTTATTTGGTGGAACACAATCCACAACAGATAGAAGTGTAAAACGTCGTATTCGATTAAAACAACATAAACGACAACATGATCGAGATGTTTTCGTTGAAAATAATGAATTGATTTGTGAAAATAACAATACAACAAAAAGGAAAATGAGTAATTCACATGAAGCTATTGATCATATCGATGGTCCTACATCTTATCGATTAGGGTTTTTTCAAAATAATAAAAATAACACTTTTGATGGTGATGATGATAATGAGGAGGAGGAGGAGGAGGAGGACGTGGACAACGATTCCATTGACGATAGTCAATCTGATAATTTATCATTAACTGATGAAAATAAAGAGAATAGTTGTATTAATCAATCTGATAATGATATCCGATTATCAAACTATACAGAATTAAATTATGAATCAAGCTTAGTTCGTCGTTCTGCTTCACATGTACTCATTGTCGGTAAGTGATGTTATTTTCAATTCATTCATGTAAAGGCTTTTTTTATAATTTCAATGGTTAAGATCATGAATCAGTTGAAGCTAGACCACCATGGAAAACCTGAAAGCGCTGGACGGCCGTTTCGTCCTATTGTGGGACTCCTCAGCAGTGCGCATCCACTGAATTTATTTCATAGAGATTTATTTAAAAATAAGTTTCGATTTCTTTGTCTAAGTAAATGATTTACTGTTTTCATATCGTAACCAGTGATATATATATCTTAGAAATTGTATTTCCGATTGTAAAATAAATGCTACTATCAAGGGCTTCAGGATTAATCTATATTAACACCTGATCTGACCATAGGGAATGAACTAGTTGGGTTCAATGACTACTTTGTCTTAAAACTATTATCTACCTGAGTGATTTGATGGATGATAAAATATTCAGGCGGATTCAAAATGTTAGCCTGCCTTTCATCAGCATACATCATCTATGCGGTAAGCTTAATGTCTGTCTACTAACCAAAGGGTGAATATATTGCACAGCAGTCTTTTATGTCTTCCTTTGTAGCTGTGAAACATCATCTATTATTTAATCATTTCTTGCGCTGAAATATCACTGAACAACCATTTCATTCTTAACAGTGGAAATCCACGAACTCCTCAGGACTCGGACCAAAGATTTTCAAGCTAATACCAGTGGATGGTCGTTGCAAAACATAACAAGCTTACTAAGGTCAGAAATTTGAACCACTTGATGTCAATGTACTGGTTTGAAGGTTTATTGCTTGTTATGTGGACTGAAACTCTTGGGTTTGATCTCTGATGATGGGGTCATGGATCTGTACTACTGAGGAGTCTCATATTAGAAAGCGGTGGCTGTCTAACACCTCTTGATATTCAGTGGTTGTTTAACTGGTCAGTCTGTGATATAAAATAATTATTATGATTGTAGTATTCAGTTTTCATAAATCATTCACCGGCTAATCAAATCAAAAGTTGGTTATCAAGTCTAATTCTTGTCCCCCTTTATATCACAGTCATAGAAATTATACAATCTGATACAATAATGTACACCAGATTGAGTTGTCACAGCCTTCATATGTATTCTAATGTTAACTTTAGTCTATTCCTCTTATCGTACATTGCAGAATATTCTAGAACCTCCACTTGTAGTGATTGTTATAAGTTTTACATTTTACTTCTCATGGGAAATCCTTCTGCGTCATCCCTAATTTATATATTTGTTTTCAACTTACACATTAGGTGATCCTGGATTAGGTAAAAGCCAACTACTTCGGGCTGCTGCAAGTTTAGCTCCAAGAGTTTTATATGTATGTGGAAATACAGCGACAGCTGCTGGTTTAACTGTCAGTACAATTCGTGAAGGTAACAATAGCGGTGGGGGATTCGGTCTAGAAGCTGGAGCATTAGTTTTAGCCGATCAGGTATGTTTAATATTAAATTTGTTGCTTGCTACGATGTGCTAACGAGTTAATTCTAGGAGATATATTTTACAGATGACTTTTGTCATGGACTAACTTCAGTTGAGATATCATCATACTATAGTGTTTACAAATCATCTGATTCTTTTCAAAAACAATGGATGATAGTTCTGATGTGTAAAGAAGTTCACGGAAACGTTTTTAGAAATTATATCTCCTCACTGACCTTTACTGTTACCTGGCAGACTCATTGATTAGGGTCCGCGTGATTACCGTAACCAATGGATAGAGACTGGGTGACATGGCTCAAAATCGTTCGTAATGACGAAGCTGCGTCCATCATCTGTCTTCCCATAAGTTCTTAATTTCTAAATACTCCATAACGTTTTTCCTACCCCATTAACCCATATTTTCGGCATGTAATCATTTCCATCATCACTAATACCTCTACTACTCTGAAGTTTCCCGTGACAGTCATCTCGCTGTGTTAATGGAGTATGATAACTCGAACTAGTGTAAACATGTGCCAGGTTCTACGTTGTCTTTGACTAACTGTTCTCGCTTTTAGTTTACTGTTTCTGCTATGTATCCCAGGACCATACTTTTTACTATGTTCTATTTCATTGTGGACCTTTTGTAATATTTGAAACATCCCCCAAATGCCCTGGTACGGCTGAATGGGGAGATTTAGCTTTTTTTCTCAAAATGCTCTCACATGGCCACGCGTATACAGCCACTAACAGCGAAGTCCTACTCACTGCCTTCTCACGGTGGGGGTGTTGTTTACGAAATTGAGAGGATGGAAAGCGAACGTCTGGCGCCTTAACAGGGTTGGTGGACACGGAGAGTCTACCTAGGGGAATTGCAAAACCATCATTCCAAACTAATGGTGCACATGGGCTCCAGTATTCTGAAGGAACAAATGGCATATGAACCGATAGTTGGTCACCGACTATCGTGGGACTGCATTTCCTTACGATGTTCCACTGCCTTATGGATCATACCGTCAGGTCGAAGGCTCGGGAAATGTCTCTCTAAGAAAACCACCTGCCTCAGTCTGGGCAGTATCACAGCCCACACGAAAATCAAGTGACTTCTGTGACGCATATGTATTTGGTGCCCCTTTATACCAATATTTATGTGAACATATAAATAAATAAATATTTGGAACAATCAATACACGATTATAAATAAATACATTGATAGGTCATTGGTTAGTAACATATGCAAAAGAACATCTTGCCAGAACTGAAGAAATAATATTGGCGATAGATTTTTAGGATTGTTTGGAACAGTTGTTACTTCATGATTGCCTAGACAAAACATAAGAATATTTCTTCTTGAAATGTTCAAGAAAGAAAGTGAGAAATAGTAGTAGTACTTTTGTCAACCTGAGTTCTCATAGAATAGACACTCGAGATCGGTTACATATTTCTATTTTTTGAGTTGTTTTTCGATGTATGAGCTCTCTACTATCCAGACCTTACCTAAATTAACTACTTTTGATCTTACCAGTCTCCAATCATTCTGATTGAAATGGTAGAATTTCAAGAAACAACCATTCTAGCTAATATAGTTCAAATAGATCATCACAGTAGACAAATCTAATTACCGTATCATGGATGTTATTAACTATGGTCAAATGTTTATAAGGTGAATCGAAATCTTTCAAAGTTGCTGCTAATTTGAGGGAAAGCTTTCTTAGGATGGTTTAGCTTATCCATAATTTTTTTCAGAAGTCAGAGTCATATCATCCTGTTGATAATTGCATTGCATATCATCGGTAGTTGATTATTGAGAGGTGTTCACCTTGATCTCCGCTTGTATCTCTTCTAGGGTTACTGCCGGTCCCAAGCCCGGTTAATGTAGGAGGGTTGGACATCCGTTCAGCAACCCCATCTCATATAAAAAAAACAATGCTAAAGTATGCTAACCATAATAAACTATTTAAACTCTACCCTGGGAGTTGAAAGATCTTCATTTCGAAGAATTATGACACCTCATGATGGTAGCCGAGTTTCTTCCGAAGTCACAAGGTCGATGCCTCTTCTTACAACCAGAGAAACAATTAATATAGGTACATAGAATGCTCGGATAGTGTGGGAAGCAGGGAGGACCAGTTAAATAGCAACGGGAATGAGGACATACAACTTGACGATGCTGTGAACCACTGAAACCGATTGCACCCAAGCTGGACAGAATAAAGTATCCTCGGGAAAGAAGCTGACGTGCTATAGTAACAAGGAAGAAAATGCTCAACACACTCAGGGAGTTGCTCTGATGCTGTCCAAAGAGGTACGTAGATCATTTATAGGATGGGAATCTCATGAATCCAGGATTATCAAGGCATTCCCCAAAACAGAGAAGGAGAAAATCATATTGAATGCTATCCAATGTTCTGTACCCACTAATGATAGCAAGGAAGACGATAAAGATAAGTTCTACGAGAGGCTGCAATCGATCATAGCGAAGTGTACAGGGAGAGACCTGACAATCCTGATGGAAGGTCTAAGCGCCAAATTTGAAATGGATAACAACGGTTACGAAGATATCGTGGGATGACATGGACTTGGAGAAAAGAACGAGAATCTTGAGAGATTTGAAAATCTTTGTGCATTCAATAAAATGGCAATAGGTGGCACAATATTCACCCACAAACGCATGCACAAAGTTACAAGAGTCACCGGATCACACTAAAGAGTAAAAGATAGATCATATTTGAATCACTATGAAGAGTTTATATAGCTTCAGATCACCACCTAGTGGTTGCCATGATGAATCGGAAGCTAAAGAAACACTGGACAATAGCATTACAAAGTTTTAGTACAACCTTCCTTCGAGATACTGTCAAACTCAACGAATTCAAGATAGCTCTCAACAACAGGTTCCAAGCCCCACAAGATCTATTGAAAGAAAAGGAAACTACTATGGAGGACAACTGGAAAGTGGTCAAAAACTATTGAGTTCAACGTATCAGGAGGTTCTGAATCGCAACAAGCATCAGTAACACAAACAATGGATCTTTATGGAAACCCTGTTTTGGATTAAAGAAAGGTAGAACAAAATACATCACTTAACAATAGCTGAACAAGAACAGAGTAAGTCAAGGCACAAACTTAATACACAGAAGCAAAAAAGCAAGTGAAGAAATGCTTTACAGCGGACAAGCAGAAATATGTCGAAAATATAGCAACGACATCAGGAAACGCTGCAAGAAAAGGAAATATGAGACAACTATACGACACGACGAAGTGACTAGTGGGAAAATATAATAAACTAGAGGCCGGTCAAAAAATGCAAGTCAATCACTGAGATTCAAGAATAAAGGAACAAATGGGTAAAACATTTTGAGGAGCTCTTGAATAGACTAGTCCCACTGAATCCACCGGACATCGAAGCAGCACACATAGATCTTCCTATAGGTGTCACTCATATTGATTGAAGGCCTCAACATACACAGGGGAAAAAGCATGATCCTCAAATTCAGCACGGAGAAAACCAGCTCTATCGCGCTTGATAGAAAAGCTCTGGAAGAGGTGCAAACTTTCACGTACCTGGACAGCATCATCGATGAACGAGGATGATCTGATGCAGACGTAAATGCGAGGATGGGTAAAGCATGAACAGCATTCCTACAATTGGAAAACATAAGGAACTCAAAACAAATGTCAGCCGACAACAAAGTCAGAACCTTTAGTACGAATGTTGAGACAGTTCTACTGTACGGAGCTGAAACTTGGAGAACCATCATAACCATCATCAAAAATGTGCAAGTATTTCTAAACATTTGTCCGTTAACCGGATACCATCAGCAACAACCTACTATGGGAGAGTACAAACTAGGTTCCAGCTCAAGAGGAAATTAGCAAAAGACGTTACAGGTGGATAGGACATACATTAAGAAATTCATCAAACTGCATCACGAAGTAAGTGCTAACTTGGGATCCTGAATGGGGACGGAAGATGGGAAGATCAAAGAACACATTACGTCGGGAAATGGAAGCAGACATCAGAAGGATGAATAGCAACTAGAAAAAACTAGAGAAGATTGTCCAGGGCAGAATTGGATGGAGGATGCTGGTGAGTGGCATATGCTCCTCCACGACGGGTAACAGGTGTAAGTAAGTAAGTTTACTGTGATATTGTCCTGGTATAATTGTAGAAGACTTTAATAATTCAGAGAGCATTTAACTATTAAGTCCTATTTTTATCGTCCTTACAACTTGATTCTATTTTTTTAAGAAATTGTAATCTTCAGCATATATACCTCTCATATTCATATGCTTGTAAACTTATATGTTTCATATATACCTATACACTTATCATTTTATCTAATACCCATCTCCTTGTCTCACTGTTGTAATGAGTAATATTTGATGTGGTTACATCTATCCTCCCTAGTTCTCATCTCTTCCTCTGTCCATCGAAGTGAATGTATAAAATACAGACGTTCGAAATACTCGTATTCAACTTTTTTTTCTTCTATTCACGTCGTTATTAACATGATTTGTTGATAGAACATGTACAAAGTTAAGCAAAATCCATATTTTATCTATATATCATTAATAATTTGATCATATTCGAGTTCGTTAATAATAGTGTACCATATTCTGTCAACCGAATATAGCCTTTTTTTATATTCACTTTAAACTGTTTTCTATCCATGATTGGGAATAAATGATTCTTACAGTCTTCAATTTATATTCATTGTATATGCCTGTACGTATTTATGTGTTAGTGATTTATGAATGCCTCGTTTTTTTTTTCTCCTTTTCAATGTCAAATAATACATATTAAGGGTTGTTGTTGTATTGATGAATTTGATAAATTAACATGTGATCCAGCTGTACTTCTTGAAGCTATGGAACAACAATCAGTTAGTGTTGCACGTGGTGGTCTAGTAGCAAATTTACCAGCTCGTGCAGCTGTTCTAGCTGCAGCTAATCCTATAAATGGTCATTATGATATAACACGACGTTTAGATGAAAATCTACGTATACCACCAGCTTTATTATCCAGGTACTTTTTTTAAAAAAAAAAAATAATAATATGACATGATAAAGCCTTTTTTGTGTGATTATTAATTGTTAACATGGTATGTGTTAAAAACTCCCAAAGATTCATCGGAAAAGTTTTCAGAAGCTGAGAAAAACGCTTAAAGATTTCATTGAATAGGTATTCAGTAGAACCGTTTTTAGAAAGTGTCAGAAAAATGATGGATTATATGTTTGTTCTGTGTTAGGTTTTGAAAGAGCGAGAGAGAGCTATCACGGGTTCACGTAGTTTGAGAACGAGATCGAGGATTCGGTGACCAAGGTCCAGTAAGCTAACTATTGACGCGTCCCAGCCCCAGCTAACTAGAGTGAGAAGTCCAGGCTTGAAATGAGAAGTATACTCTGCCAACCAGAAAATGAGCGACTCACCAAAACAATTTAAAACGTATATATACAAAATATATAATCGATATTGTCATTTAAATTATTAACATTCGTCAATAAGTTCATCAATTGATTGCTATTCAAATATTCAACATTTAATCGATAAGTTAATCGATAATTTTACAATGTGAGTTTTGGGGAATTTATCGTCCCCAACATTCTGATTGGATAATTACAGATTTTGGCGTGTTTTTAGGAACTTCCAGGACTAATTAGTTCATTCTGATTGGTTTTTATTCAGTATGGTTCTATTTAACGATATAGGATTACTGATCCCACATTTAACTCTCCTCATTTATCCAGGTTAAAGACCGAGATTGACTCGCTGATTAAGGAGTTCGAATTCCAGCTACTAAATCTTAGGTTCAAGGCTTGAAAAGTTGGTTTATCCTAGTATTAAACACCTCGGTAGCATGTATCCATAACCTCGTCAAAGATGGAACCCAACATCTACAGTCTTTACAGTTAGCGCTTTATTCAGAGTTCACCATTGTGTTGAAATCCAACGGTTCATATTTACAACTTTCATTGATTCATATTCCATTATCAACATGTGAATGGATATATACTAAAAAAAACCGTCATTTTTGTATATTAAACAGTATGACAATGAGTTATTTGTCGATCAGTTTACAGTGATAACAAATGACTTTTTGCTGTCAAGTCACCCGTGAAATTATTTTAAGGGTAACTCTAAAGATTTGGCAACAGATAAACAGTTAGATACTGTTAAATAGTAATTCCATATTCATTCATCTTCTTTTTTTTCAGCGTCACTACTACTGTTGTACTTTACTATCTTATGTATTTCTGTTTCTTTATATTTTCTTCTTTAAAAAAAAACACAATAAGGTTTGATTTAATATTTGTATTATTGGATCATCCAGATGAAGTAGCTGATCGTCTTCTATCAGAACATGTTACAGCTGTTCATACTGGGAATTGGAAACCGTCTAGTTTTATATGTTCTCAAACAATAAATCAACATGATCGTTGTAATACTGACACTGGAGTTGGTGCCACTGTACAAGAGTTTGATTCTAGTATTCCATTAAGTCAACGATTAGAATTACTTGTTGGTGAGAGAATTGATTATATACCTCCAGTATTATTGCGTAAATATATTATGTACTCTAGAAAATATGTGATGCCATGGTAAGTGGATTTGTTTTTTTGTTTTTTTTTTTGGAATTCCATTTTAGAAATATACGTTTTATGGTTTATATACTTTTCTATAGTTTTACAGTATAGATTTACATTACTTAGATAACCATTACAAACCAGGAAACATTGTATAACTGTTTCTTAGTATACGACTCCTCAGCTGTGTATATCCACGACCTCAACTGGGATCAAATTCTGAACCTCTAGACTAATGTCAATACTTGTTGTTAACTGAAGCTAGAAATATTAGCAATTAGATGTAAACTCAATAGTCTAAAGATCAAAACAAAGCGGTCGTCCAGTCATCGCTTGTTTTTAATGGTTATTTCAATAAAATCATTCTATGATTTAAGACTAAAAATTCACTATTACTCATAACCTTTTATCCTAAAATGTAAGTTTATTTTCGATGTTTAGTTTTTTTTGTTTTTGTACGGCATGTATTTTACTGTAGAATGTATCAGTGAATAAATATCATATGTAACTGAATTAGTCCTGAAACATCGGGCAACTATGTTGTAGTCAATACAATTGTAATCACATGGTTACGTAATAAACTAATGAGTATAATTTCAATGGTTAAGATCATGAGTCAGTTGAAACTAGACCTGGAAGCACTAAACGGCCGTTTCGTTCTATTGTGGGACTCCTCAGCAGTGCGCATCCACGACCTCGCCCCCTGCGAGATAGTACGAAACGGCCTTCCATTGCTTCCGGGTTTTCCATGGTGGTCTAGCTTCAACTGACTCATGATATTAACCATTGAAATTACTATGATCTCCAGAAAACCCTTTCTGATATTAATGAAGAAGAATATGAGTTTAGGTTAGTAAATAAAGAATAATGTAATGATGATGTAATTAAATCAGTGTTATATTATCAAAACAAACAAAGATCATGATATAGTAAACAATGACTAAATCAATTCAAGTGTGAATAACAGATGAAACTGGTTTTTTCTCCCAATTGTTTGTAGCATGTAATCACATCCTAAAAGGTTATGATGCAACTTCATCAATTAGTTATATCTGTTAGTTATAAATACTTGATTGTGTATGTTAACGTTGCCCTCAAATGCCCTGGTACGGCCGAGAGTGGAAGAGTCCGCCCTCCCTCCAAATGCTCTCACATGACTATGCGTATATAGCCTCTGCCAGGGAGGTCCCACTCACTGCCTTCTCGTGGCGGGGGTTTTGTTTCCGAAAATGAGAGAACGAAAAGAGAATGTCTGGCGATTTAACCGAATCCAAAACCAATGGTGCACATGGACTGGCTCCAGTATCCTGAAGGAACGAATGGCGTATGAACCAATCGTTGGTCATCGGCTGGCTGCCATGGAACTGCATCTCCTTACGGTGTTCCACTGCCTTGTGGGCCAGACGTTCAGGTCGAAGGCTCGGGGTGTGGCCCCCTAAGAAAACCACCTAATTCGGTTTGGTCACCTGATCTGTATCACAGCCCTTACACATATCAACTGAGATTTGTGTGGCGCGTATGTATTTGGTGCCTCCTTGTACCAATATCTATGTGTTAAAATAAAATTTTAAAAATGCTAACATTAGTAAGTTCTTTGATTAAATAATGTTAAACAACTACTTCGTTCAATTTAGACATATCTCAATGGTCTAGTGGTTAAGCGCTCGCATGCGAGACCGATAGGTCCTGGGTTTGAATTTCGTGAAGCGGGATCGTGGATGCGCACTGCTGAGGAGCACCACAATAGGATGAAACGTCCGTCCAGTGCTTTCAGGTTTTGCACGGTGGTCTAGCTTCAACGGACTCATGATCTCAATCATTGAAATTACTGCAATAACCATAAAACCCTTACTGATACATATCTAACTGTGAATAAATCATGTATAAAGTTGTGTATTCATACATGATTATTTTAATGTTATTTGGAGGGTCAAATAAATACGGTACCGTACTTTATCTTATATCATTCAATTTACGGTTTCCTGTTGTAATGTGGAAAAAGGGAAACTGTCAATTTGGGATTTCGTTAATGAATATATTGTTTTATACAAGTTAACTAGTCTTGCTTCAGGATAGTCTCTAAGGAATGTGTGTTTCTTTAAACTTTCTATCCATTGTTTCCATAACATCACCAAAGGTGTTGTGTAAAGAGATTTGTTCAGTTTGTTGGTGTATTTTTGTCACCAATCTATCATAAACTGAGAAACTATTGAAAATTAATTGACACTGGACAACTCAGTCACCCTTAGTCTGGAAATCCTTAGCAGTAAAAATTGATAACCTCAGAGTCTAGCTGAGAAACCTCAGGTCTTCCAGTGACTACGTTACCTTCACACCGCTGAGCTCAGAACATCTCTCGGTAAAATACATAAGGATTCTCAAGGAATTTCAAACGGTTCATAATTTTTCTCCTGATATACCAACTTGTAATGAGCACTGCCTTGAATATCATTTCACTCATTATGTTCAGAATAATGAATTATTCTTCAATTTGTGGGTCATTGGACTGATTTATTTGTTTGAACATAAATATTGGTACAGAGAAGCACTGAATACAAATGGCCACACACAGGTCACTTGATTTGTGTGGACTGCAATGTTGACCGGGTGCCCAGACTGAAGCAAGTAGTTTTGTTAGGAAGGAAACATCCCGATCCTTCGATCTATAGGTTTGATCCACAAGGCAGTAAAGCAACGTATGGTGATACAGTCGCATGGTAGTTTTTTTCGGATGAGTAGATTGTGTTTAGAAATGGAATTTAGGACGGTCGTTTCGTCCCATTTAGGATTACAACCCCAGTGTATTTTGCTTTAAATATTGAGTGTGATGTTTATACATTATTAGTAGGCATTCAGATAATCCCATTGTTGATATTCAGGACTGTTGACGCGTTGGCATTCGGAGCGAAATTTCTGGGTTCGCGTCCCTGTATAGAAGCCGAAATTAGGATGTAGATATATTCAACTGACGGATCACAAACAGGTCGAAAGACACATTCCAGTCTCCGTTTATAGCCACAATTTTTCTGTTCAACAAAAATTAATGAGTAAACGGTTATATCAGGACAATCCTCACAGATTACACATATGCCAACAAGGAATAATCAGGAATTCAGTGCTGAATATCAACAACTGCATAATTCAATCTCTTTTCAATAATAATATTAATGATAATTCTCAATGCCCTTAAAGGTTTAATCACTAACTTCCTCTGGCGATTTCATCCAGTCACGTATATCCATTTTCCTTTTTGATTTTTAGCCTTTCTAATGAAGCAGCCATAACTCTACGTGATTTTTATTTAGAACTACGTAAACATCGTCATAGTCGTGATACATTTCCTGTAACTTTACGACAACTCGAATCATTAATTCGTTTAACACAGGCAAGAGCTAGAGCTGAACTACGAGAAGAAGCAACTAAACAGGTAATTAAATCAAAAGGTTTTATTAATATTTACTCAATTGTGGATATTCAACTATCATTACTTTAACATAATTACTCCCTTTGATAAACTTGGATAATTCAATGTGAAGATGAAGTTTTCCAGAATTATGTGTTGTGTGTTTACACAATAAATTTCGAACAATCTGATCACACAAATTCTGTTTAAGAAATTATATATAAAAATACTCTGATATGGCCGAGAGTGGGGAGAATTAACTCTCCCTCTCGAAACGCTCTTACATGGCCACGCGTATACAGCCACTGCTTACCCGAGACGGGAGTGTTGTTTACGAAAGAACAAAATGCGGATGTCTGGCACTTTAACCGGTTCGGTGGACATGGAGGTTCCACATAAGGAAGTTGGAAAACCCTGATTCCAAACCAATGGTGCACATGGGCCCCAGGATCCTCAAGGGACAAATGGCGTATGACCAGTCGTTGGTCACCGGCTTCCATGTGACTGCATCTCCTGACGTTGCTTCACTGCCTTGTGGATCAAAACTTTAGATCGAAGGATCGGGATGTATCCATCTTAACAAAACCACCTTCTTCGGTCTGGGCACCCACACATAAATCACGTGACTTGTGTGGCGCATATGTATTCGGTGCCCCTTTGTATCAATATTTATGTGCTCAAATATATATATATATATATATAATTAAAGACCAACTAGATAAATTAGAAGGTAAGAGAAGTGTTATAACTTGTGCCCTGTGTTCTATTAATATATAACGTAATGATACCGCCAATTAGAGAACAGTGAATTATCGATGACGCATAAAATCATACGAGTAGTCTAGAGTCCTTATCAGTCCTGCTTCTCGTCTAGCCCTGTCTGTTAAGTCCAGAACACCGATCTCAGCCTCTGCAATATGAATCATTATATTTCAAACATACTGGGTTTATATACCAACCAAACAGACCACATCGTACCATAAAATAGAAAATAACATTTGTACAAGATTGAGCCAAATGTGGCTGTGAATAAAGGAGATAGTAATTGATAGGCTGGGTATAACTCAGGAATAGTAAATCGTATAATAATAGTTCATAGGTCAAGATAAAGCTCATAATAAGAGGGACACGAATATGAATAGTTTAGTTACTTGACAATTATACGATAAAAATTTACACATAGTAATGCTCCATAAATGGATCCCAAAAGTCATCATTTATTATTCTCATCGGGATATAACACCTCTCCGTTTTTAAAGATCCGATTTTCAATTTTTCGAGTTTATCCTCTTCCACAAAATAGTGTTAAATCCTCATATCCCCAAGTCACAATTAATTTGACTTTATTTAAAATTTTCTTGTCTCATTGAACAGAGAATTTAGTAAAATTAACCAGATAGTGAGGATAAACGCCATTTGACTTGAAGTCATCAGAGTTTGATTCTTCTGACTCAACAAGAAGGAAAACATGATAATAACAATAACAGTGGAAATAATACAGTAAGCACTTTGAAAACCACACTAGATAATAAATCAGTCTTACCAGAGTAGGGTAATTGCAAGAGTAAACTGTTTTTGAACACAGAGGATACGACTTCAGTTTTCGTATAACCACGGCTTCAATAAACCTTGGTATGTAAATTTTGCAACATTTTTATGTAACACTACAAAGAGTGACTTCATGTCAGCCTGATGATTTATCTCAATCAAATGTTTCGCATTGGAATTGTGATGTGTATTACTTATATAGACAGATATAAGTAGTATGTAACACCAATCAGAAATGAAATGCCTGGTAGTAGAAGGTTGAGTAGATCGAATTGAAGAAAACAAAAATATGAACAGACAGTAATTGTAATAACAACAGGAATGGAAGGAGAGAGATAATTAATGGAAGATGTGTAAATGAAGTATTTAGTGGATGGGTTTCATATTTTATGAAAATACAATGTAATATTTCATTAAACAATAAATTGGTCTACCCCATCTGTGATATCGTTCACTACAGAAGAAGATATTTGTTTGTCCTGTGATTTTATTTGGCAACTGAATTTCACTTGTGTTTGCAGCTATTTAGTTATGTATTTGGTCCTAATAATTTTGTTATTCTATGCAAAGATGGATAGTGACAAGTTCGAAATAGGACGAAACACGCGTCCTGTATTCCACCGCTAGCCACTATCCATCCTTGCTTAGAATGCTTGTGAATTAGGTCAATATCGAGGCAATACGCACAGTATGCACATATAGCAATAAGAGACTGATCGATTGCAGTTCTAAACATCAATGGGATGATACAAGTAAACAATACCAAGTGAATTTAACTTTGTTATTCCTTTGTCGATTGATTAATCGCTAAGTGTATATTTTAGTTCTTTTTTATTCAATTTAATATAGTGTGATAATCTTTGATTAATTTGTTATTATACGATTTTCCATTCTTGAATTATTCCGTTTATTAATCACTACCCACACACACACATTCACAACCACATTTAGCCAAATTTTGTAAAAATGTTATTTTCTATTTCATGGTACGTTGTAGTCTGTTTGTTTGGTATATAAACGGAGTATGTTTAAAATACATGATTGATATCGCAGAGGCTCAGATTGGTGTTCCTGACTTAACTGGCTGGGCTAGGCAGGAAGCGATACCAATCAGGACTCTAGGCTGCTCGTACGGGTTTTACGCGTCATTGATCCGATCGATAATTCACTGCTCTCTAATCGGTGGTCACAAGTTATAGCATAATTTTAGTGTGAAATTAGACTCGTTCACCCTAAAGTTGTGTTGTCTGTAAAGCATTGTGTGAGGATATCTGAAAGTGAGAAAGACAAGATCTGAAGTGAACTTTCAACTTACTAAGCACATAAGATGTACTTACATTTGATAATGAAAACAGGCAACAGTGATTAGCACTAAGCACTGTTTGAATTGTCTTTTAATTCACATGATAACTCCTAATATCATAGAATCAAATTTCATTTTAATCATGAACCGATCGATATTAGGTCACCATTGAAGACCTGGAAGCACTGGCCATGCTTTTCATCCTATTATGGGACTTCTCAGTATTGTGAAATTACGATTCCGCAATTGGGACTCGAATCCATGACTTTTAGTCTCGCCCGAACGCTTAATATTTCAACCACTGAGTGGGTGTTAATGTCTTGCACAACCTTTCATTCATTACCTCCGGTGGTTAACTGCTTCACATTCGACATAGTTCAGTGAAATTCAATAATCTCCACAACCCTTTACCGATAAAATAATTCAGTGTTTTTAGCAAATTACAATGAAACGTTTTACTAGGCTATCGAGGCTACTTACAAGTAGTTTATATTCTCAAGTGTCAAGTTTCATAGTTTATGTGTATGATATTACAGATGAATCTCATTCAAGACACCTGTGAAAACCAGAGAGCACTGAATAATTGTTTCGTTTTCGTATGGGAATTCTCAGACGATAGTTTATATTATCCACTTTCATTGTTAATGAATAGATTAATTGAAATATTTGAATGTTTTTATTGTATATGTAGGATGCATTAGATGTTTGTGAATTAATGCAATCAACTGGTTTAGGTAGCGGTTTTATCACTGGTACACCAGCTAATGTAAGTCTTAGTGAAATGAATAATTTACTCAATACAACATTATCAAAACGAATTAATTCATCATCAACTGGACCAGGCGCTGCTAAACGTCTGTTAGCTGCACTTGAGGTATGTCCTTTTTTTTGTTAATTTCAGTGTAATTTTTATCTTTGTATTCCCGTATGTGTTAAATAATATTAAAAGTTAGAATCTAAATGTATATAATGAGTTTATGCATTTGTACCACTGTGACTAGTTTCGAACCACCAACAACTTCAAACATGTATTACAATTATCTCGTGGACCTCCGACTTGTAGTATGAACCTACCAATCTAGTTTGAAGTTTGAAACAGCGAAATCTTTGATATTCTTTTTCTAATTTAAATTCCCAAACATTTCAATTTATTTAACCTGATTGATTTTCTTGGCAGTGTTTTGTGCTAGATCTTAAAAGTTATCGTTATAAGTTAAGCAATGACTCAGTGGTTAAATGCTTTCGAACTTTAGTCACTAAATCGAATCCTATCTCACCTACCTCCGTTCGGACAACCTAACTCTCTAATAACCTTAGGTTTCAAAAACAGGCAAACCAATAAATCCCTAGTCAGTTTGTTATTCTTATAAAATACCACTTCCTTTTAATGATAACCTCTTCAGAAAGTTTAAATTGATTTGATTTTGTTCACTTCAAGTTAGTTACGACTGAATACTAAAAATAGTAGCACCATACAGAAATTTATATATAGGCTGAGAAACTGTCTGGACACTAAAACCAAATGCATGCAGTTTTCTTAAGAGGCCATTCCCCAAGCCTTTGATCCATACATCTAGTTGACAAGAAAATCAACAGCTTCAGAAGGTTCTGTTTCGTTTTAAACAGTGATCACGACTTCTTTGGACGAGACTTTAAACGTATAGCAATGTAAGAATATTTCAAGGAGGAAAACTGGCTTTCTTTACTATCGGACATATCACAGCACTTGAAGGGACTGTATAAAGACTAAGTTAATACAATGAAACATTAAACCAATGATTGTATACTTATCTCAACACTTAAAAACTCTAGACTCTACTCCTTCTATCTTAATATACAGCTTTTCTATTCCGTTATTTATTTCTATTTAGATAACTTCAAAACGTACAAACAGTCGATTATTTACAATGCCAGAAATTAATACTATTGCTAATGATATACATATTGCTTCAAATTGTATTATGACTTTATTAGATCGATTAAATGAATCCGGTGCAATACTTAAACGTGGCGCCAATCTATATAAACTTGTTTAAAACTCATATTGTTTTTTTTTGTGTGTTATAATTTTCTTGTTTACTTTTCTTACATTGTTGACCTGAGTTGATTTGTTGATCTTTTTTCTTCGTACGATCGTTATTTATATTCTCTATTTTTTTACTGAACAGAACCACTGTCTTTTTTGTTTGTTTCTTCTATCATAATAAAAACACAGTCGTTTCCCAGTTTTGTCATAAAGCAGTCTGCTAAAATTGAACCCAATAGGAAACATATGATGATCTCATCTCTTCGTCTATATATTTCATTGTTGTTTATTATTTATTTAGTTTAACACATAAATACTGGTACAAGGAAGCACCAAATACGTATGCGCTACACATATCTCATTTGATATGTGTAAGGGCTGTGATACTGCCCGGGTGCCCAAACCGAAACAGCAGGTGGTTTTCTTAGGGGGCCACACCCCGAGCCTTCGACCTGAACGTCTGGCCCACAAGGCAGTGGAACACCGTAAGGAGGTGCAGTTCCATGGCAGCCAGCCGGTGACCAACGATTGGTTCATACGCCATTTGTTCCTCCAGGATACTGGAGCCTATGTGCACCATTGATTTGGGGTCCTGTTAAAGCGTCGGACATTCGCTTTTCGTCCTCTCAATTTCATAAACAACACCGGTGTCACGAGAAGTCAGTGAGTAGGACTTCCCTGGCAGAGGCTATATACACGTGGCCATATGAAAGCATTTTGAGAAGGTGAGCGGACTCTTTCCACTCTTGGCCTTACCAGGGCATTTGGGGTATTTCATTGTTGAAAATATAAATATTAAAGGTATTACGTAGCAACATTTCTTTCAAGTTGGTGCAATTTCAGCAGACTGCTTTATGGCAAATCTGGGAAACGACCAACTTAGTTCGATGATTAATCGATTTCATCTATACGTAAAATACATGGACGACACATATGTCATTTGTGACGATAATATTGAATTAGAAGGTATCTTACATTCCTTCAACACATACCACTCTTCCATAGACGTTAGAAAGTGAACGAGACCAGGCAATCTATTTTTTCGATTTGCGTCGGATGAGAAGGAGTAACGATTCCTTAAAAAGATCCATATTTAGAAAACAAACATGGAATGACCAGCTAACCAACTTCTGTAGCTGGGCTTTTTTTTAGCAGAAAGAGAAATCTTATTCCCTCTTTATGTTAACAGATATGTAGTACGAAATGCATTGACGAATAACGCACATTCATCAGGAAAACTGATGAAAAATAGCCATCCAGTTATTCCGTTCAAAAGAAAAACCTTTATATAATTTTCGAATCTAAAGGTGATCGAACATCTGATGTAATCAAAAGTCGTTTAACGATAGCGATAAAAACGTTCTATGCAGCAAAACTGAGAATAACGTTCACTAGTAGGAACTTGTTTCCTCTATCCATAAAATTTAAACTTCCCCGTCTGATCGTTTGCATGTTTATCTTCCAGTATACCTGCTCTTGTGGAGCCAGGTACAATGGCCGTAGACGGTGCTCACTTTCAACTCGGATACGGGATCATGTCCCAGTGTGGTTCTACAAGGGTGAGAGGAAAGCAGTTGTATTGAATTTTGGAGCAAACGACATTGGTTTTTCTGACCCATTTAATTCAACGGCTTGTAGACCATGTAAAAGACCGGTAGGGAAATTCTTTTGTTTCACTAAGTATTATATGGAAACGGGAAAATATTATAAACACAGGTGAGTAAATTCAAAGAAGTATTCATACTGGAAGCAAAGAGTCATAAAACTCTTTTCGGGTTATAAAATATCCACAGTTTGCAACATAGATATATCATTATGCAGAAAATCTAGTTCAATCATGACATGCACTAACTAAAATAACGGTGATAGCGTAACCCAATACCATGCTAGATAGTTTTCTGGTGAAATATTGTTGTAGATTCTGTGTGTAAAAAACACTCTTCAATGTTCTTCTGTAAGACAACAACCTTTTACTTTTCATGACGTCACCGTATTGTTTACTCAGTATAGCCGGATCCATTTTCATTAAGTTGTTATTAATAACAATGAATTGGCAATTACAATGTAAATGCAAAACAATTGATGCTCAAGCTTCTGCTATAATGTTGTACAATAATACGCTTTTCCCTTGAAATAAAACTTTAAAAATACAGCTTTTTCCGTATATTGCAGTTCCATTGTGGTTTGTTGTGGAAATAAAGGCGAATATAGGAGACCTTTGGGGTTATGCCAATGGTGTTTTAAGAGTTGGATCATAAACAGGCAATTTTGTGTGCATTTAGGCAAAAAGTAGGCAATTCGGAGGATATTTAAGCGAAAAGTAGAGAATTTAACAACAAAGCGACAAAAAGGGGGAAATCCGCATTATTTCTCCCGGACAGGCGAAAAAGGAGATATTTTGGCGCGTTTTCCCCTTTATTTCTCCTTTATTGGTTGATTGGGTCTTCGACATCTACACCTCGACCGATAACCAGTGGTTCTGTGCAGGGTAGTCTCTTGGGTCCATCGCTTTTGCAATCCGCATCAATAATATATGCAGGTGCTTCAACACAGGTAAGACCTGCTTTTACGCTGACGACTTTAAAGTCGTCTGTTAAACTAGCATTTGCAATGTACGTAGTGCTTTGAAAACAATTCAGCATAAATTCAGTGCAAAGAAATGTGGCTGATTATCTATTGGAGACACATCGTATTAAAATAAAACTAACATCTAGCGAGAACATGCCGCCCAAACTCAAATTAGTTACTGACCTTGGGATACATTACTGCCAGTCTTAACTTCTCTGAACATATCTCTACTGAAATGCGGAAATTTCTAGGCTTCATTCTTCGTAGCTTCTTTCAAACGGATCTAGAGTCATTCTTTACAGGATATATATGTAAGACCTATCGTTTAGTAGTATTCGTTCTTATTTTCCAACTTACGCCTATCCGATATACCGGTGGAAGGAATACAACAAGATTTCACTCGCAGAATGCTTAAAACTGAGTTACTCATTGATTGTTTTTTCCGGTGCCATGTCCTAAGACTTGGACCTCTCTGGAAAAGAAGGCTTAGGTTCAATTTGATCCCCTACTCCAAACTCCTCAAACATCTTAATTACTCCATTTATAATACAGTTCTTACCAAAGGCCCACACACATACGACCTTCGAGACAAATACCTTCAGTCAAAATTGAAAAATGCATGTCAAAATCTCGGGAAATCTCTTCCTCATCAAGTATGCATTAATGTGTAACAATCTTCTCCCAAAATATGCATGGTTGATGTATTTTACTCGGGTACGCTTGAACTACACGAGCCTCGAAACTGCTACAAACCCACCTAATAATCATTTAGGAAGAATTATTACTTATATTTATCGTCGGATCCGAAACAACTCGCTTTGAAATAATGTGTGTGTAATAGAACACTTCAACCAATAATGTGCATGGAACAGTAAATAACATTTTCTTCCATTGCATTTGTTTGTTTTGTAGGGCCGGCAAGATATCACTGAACCCTAGCCAAATCACACGGCAGTTTCGTCACTGAATGTCGAACAGACCATCGATCCTCATCAAGGTCAAGCACAACCACGGCGAATCGGCTAATCGTACAGGATTGACTGGCCCTTGATATGGTAGTTTCAAAATCTACTTTAAGCTCGTTCTTACTAATACATTTCTATAGTAACGTCTTTTGTATTATACGGTTTTCAAAGCAGAGTAGTATCTTAATACGTCGACGAGGTAGTCCACATTGGGTGCTGATCGCGAGGTGTAACTTTGAAGTATTCTTTTGTGTCACCCCATTCCCGTCTAACTCGAGTAGGCCCTCAGTCATTCGACATAGATCACCTACGTTAATGGTTTACAGTTTTGCTACGTCAAAAAACCAAAAGCAAATATTGTTTTTTAGGATATGTGTATATATTTTTTTCCGAAAACTCATAGTGTAAAAATTGTTTCTACGCCACCGTACGTCGGAAATACGCATGTATACCAGTTTCTTTTTTCTCACGTTGTGCGTCCTTACGCGCGTACATGAGTATTTAAACATGCACTTACGATTTTTTCTTCTCTTTTCGGAGACATATGGAAAAGATATTGTACCAAACGGCACCTTATATTAGGGAAAGACGATCAGATATTATTGAAGAAAGCAGGCTATCAGGAGGGTGTTTACCAACGATAAGCTTGTTAGGATTTAGACTTCATTCTGGCTGTGTCTTATAGTCGCCATAATCTACTAAGGGAAGAATAAGCTGTAGTGGTAAGTAAATCTTTAAAATCATTAGCTCTGTTACTCTTCAGCATTTGATGCTGACTGCATTAGTTTTGATGGACATATCTAGTTGGTCACGTTTCCACCCCAGGTCATGAGTGGGTTCTCCATACTTCACACCTCCTACAACCGTTAGCTAGCTTAGATTAAAAGCTTATCGATATATCGACAGCCTTTCAAACATACCTTCAAATATCTTCGTTTTCTGACTTCCCATTTAACTGGGTTGACATTCTTCGATTATAAAAATGTTACGCGTAAAACCATTGTCAAACTGTGAATACACGTGTCATCTTTAAATAGCAGGACTACTCAGAGAGATTTTCAGGCCCTCGCAATGTCCGCTTTGAAGCAGTGAGCGAACTTCGAATGACTTTTGACGACTAAAAGTCTGAGTCAGTATTTGATCGTCCAGTGACTTATGCTTTTACACAAAACAGAACTTTAAAATTAGACGAAGCTCTGAGTAAGCTAAAATGAGGGTAATCGAACAATGGAAACTAAACGGGCTGCATAAACGGAACAAAGTGAGACAAAAGTATGTGAACTAGTTACATATTATCTTTTGGGTTATTAATGATGGTAAGCAATTATATTACTTGATATTTATTCACTATCACATTTATGGATGAACGTGAGTGCTGTTTGATCAGAAGTAGATGTTTCCTAAGTAAGTGAATCCACAGCCCTGTGATATAGGAGTCTAAATCGCAAGACATTACAGTAAAACCACGAGATGCTGT